CTTCTGTCATATAGTATCCAAGAGGCAGTAAAGCAATATTATTAGGAGAAAGGGAGGACATTGAGCCCAGCCATGTGATGGCATTCTCAGAAAGTTCACCACTTTCTTGGAAAATGTTAATCAAGGATTTACTCAATCAAAAAGAAAAAATCTAAATGGGAAGACATGAGATAAAAGATACAGAGAAAAGCAAATGTTCATAAAATGTACAAATTCAAATGCTTGCTGGAAAATATTTATACATGATATAAAATTTTAAAGTAAACTAGAATAAAACATTTTTAAATATTAAAAGAAGATTCAGGGGAAGATGGTAGTTAAGCACACTAAAGATCTCATCCAGTTGGGTAAAGTTACAGATATTAATTGATCAAAAAGTAATTTTAAGCATGAGTAACCTTGCTATCCTGACTCAGTATGTGATCTCAAGGAACCAAACAAAATTTCACACAGAGTTATGACAAGCCATCCAGATCTTAAAAACCAAATAGGTTAAGGGGCACCAGGATAGCTCAGTTGGTTAGGTGTCTGACTCTTGATTTCGGCTCAAGTTGTGATCTCAGTTTGTGAGTTCCAGCCTCATGTTGGGCTCTGAGCTGACAACGCGGAGCCTGCTTGGGATTCTCTTTCTCTCCCTCTCTCTCCCCCTTCCCCAGAATAAATAAACATTTAAAAAAAGTATGTTGGGATAATAATGGTATCCCTTGCTATTCCAACTTTAGACCCAGATAGATTAAGATAACAAGGGCTCCTTGAGTATTTGTTGAAATATTTAAAGGAAACAATCCAAGAATATAAAAACAATGTGCAATCTCTCGACAATTAGAAAGAAAAAAAAAGAGTCTGAGGGGAAGGGAAGTTTTAAAAATGTAATCCATCAAAGAAGGAAGCAGGCAATAACAGAGCCAGGTCCCTTTTTTTTCTTCTTTTATCCATTCACAATTTAGTTTAGAAGCCATTAGTTGAGATCAATTTAGGTAGGCCTTGTGTGAGGTGTCAGAAAAGCAGGGTGAGGATGAGGTATGTGTGGTGTATGTGGTTGGGAGGGTAGCAGCAACAGATGAGTTACATGTAGAGGAGTTGATCACATAAGGAAACACTGAAGATGATAGGGTTGTGACACTGCAATAGCATGAGTACATCTAGCTTCTGCATCTCTATTCTAAATACTATTCTCTAAAAGGAACCAGGGCTCTTTGAGAAATGACTAACTCTAGGACTGGGGCAGGTTCTGTCTGGAAGATCTCACGTGCCAAAAATAAGAAGTGTTCAAAGAATGATGGGGACCCGTCAAACAGGTACAGAAAACATCTTGAAGAGCCCTCTGCTGGCTAATCTTGAGGCACTTTGTATATCAAAAATAAATAATGGTAACATTATAATCCATCGAATAAAGTAGGAATTCATGAGTCCACACTGGTTAAAAGAATAAACAGGGAAAAGAAAAAGCTTCTCTTTAGAGCAGGGTAGCAATTGATGAATGCAGTTGGAATAATGGCATTAGAAAACGACCATTTGGCAACCACCACAGTTATAATTAATCTAGCCAAGCAACATCAATTAATGTTAAAACTAGTTTGTGAAAGTTTGATAAGGAATGGATCATTTACATTGTCTCAAAGTTCTCTCTACAAAATACTGATTACAAAAGGGAATAGTAACTACAGTAGAGAAACTTGGCAGACCTCACTTTTTGTGAGTGATTACAGCTAATATCACAAGTATTGAGACAAATCAAAAATGCGTAGCACCTAGTACAATGCAGTAAAAAGAGCACAGCATTACTTCTGTGATATTAGAAATGCATAGTATGAATCTTAGGAAATATCTCAAACTGAGGGATATTCTTCAAAATAACTAGCCAGAAATTTTGAAAAGTATCAAGTTCTTGAAAGTCAAGGAGATGCATAAGAACTATTATAGGATGAAGGACCTAAAGAGACATGACAACAAAATGCAACATGTGATTCCAGCTAAGCCATGTCTGGACTCCAACTTCCAGAAACTAAGATAATAAAATGTGTGTTGTTTTAAACCACTAAGTTTGTGATAACTTGTTACACAGCACAGAACACTAACATAAAACTCCTTTTATTCATGAGCATAGATACAAAAGTCTTGAACAAAAGATTAACAAATAGAATCCAGCAATTTGTGAAAATACTACATCACTAACAAGGTAAGTTTATCTGAGGAACAGAAGATTGGTTTAATATGTGATCATCATAGCAGACTACAAGAAGAAAACTCTCATGATTGCCTCAAAAGATACAGAAGAACCTCATCACTCTCAATGTCTGTCATGATGACAATTCTCCAAAAAACCTATGCCTTTAGCAAACATCATACATAATGGTGAATTATTCAGAGCTTTCCTTCTTAGTTCAGGAGTGAGCTAAGGATGCCTACTATCCCCACTTCTATTCAGCATTTTACTGGAGGTGCTAATTAGTTCACAAGGTAGGAAATAAAAAGTATTAGGATTGGGAAGGAAAACGTAAGACTTATTTTTGGCAGATGACTTGAATGTTTACAGAAAATCCAAAGAACCTATATAAAAATTATAGACTGAGTTTAGGAAGGTCCTTGGATATAATATCAACATATGAATATGTGTTGTGTTTTTACCTATAAGCATCAATCATAAAATGAAATTTTAACAAGACTCCACTGATGGGGAGAAACTGAAGTATTTGGGAGAAGTACACTGACCAAAGGAGCAGAGTGACAGGATTCAAGTCCTGTGGAATCACCACTCAGGTGACTTCATGAACCCCTTTTAAATAGACCACAAATATAAAATAGCCATAAAACACAACATCTCTCATTGCCAAGATCTCTTATATATACAGACATTGAAGAACAATCATTCTTTTTTTTTTTTTTAATGTTTATTTACTTGAGAGACAGAGAGCACAAGTGGGGGTGGGGCAGAGAGAGAGAGAAAGAGAGGGAGAGAGAGAGGGAGAGAGAATGAATCCCAAGTAGGCTTCATGCTGTCAGCACAGAGCCCGACGCAGGGCTCAATCCCATGAACCATGAGCTCATGACCTGGGCTGAAAGCAAGAGTCTGACGCTTAACCGACTGAACCACGCAGGAGCCCCTCCAGTTTATTTTTAATCTGTTATGGTTCTTAGCCTTCTTTATCTTTCCTGAAGTTTACATTTTTGAAAAGTTGTTATTTTATTACTTCATTCATTTTACTTAATGCAGAATTGAGAAAAGACAAACTGGATTGGCCCTAAGGCTCTTTCTTCACCATTCTTCACAGATTCTGAGTTAGCTCAGAAAAAGAACAAACTGGTACCAAATTTGGAGCTCCAGAGGGTCCTCTTTCTAGCAAGACCACTTCCCTACCCAGGTTGCATGGTTCCACCTACTCTCTGACCTCTTTTCATCCAGATAGAGCATAGTTGGGGGTGGGTCCCTCTTTACTGAAGGCTTTCTTTTTTTTTT